GAAATTCACAAAACTTAGAATTATTGATCATATTAAAGGTATAGTTTAAAAACTTAATTAAGGCCTCCAAGGCCGTATCAAGTATCCGATAACTTTGTTGAAACTTAAATAACCACAAAAGTATCTCTACATCTAATTTATCTTCTAATTCTATTCCTTCATAGTTTTCGTTCTCTTCTTCCAGCTCAGGTGCAGCAAACAAGTTATTATCATCTTCAAGATACTCATCTTCTGATTCTACTTCATTATCTTCTCTGTCATCAATCAATTCATTATTATCATCACGATATTCTTCTAGGTCATCAATTAATTCATTATCATCATTACGATATTCTTCTAAGTCATCAATTAATTCATTATTTTCATTATCCTCTATATCAAATATATTAAACAAAAGTTCATCATACATATCGGGCATCTCTTCTATATGGGGTTCACGAAATTGATCATTTCTTGGTTGGGATGACGATGCAACTCCCTCTCTAAGACCCAATCCTGTAAGTATATCACTTACAGATATGTCCCTGTTCAATTTTGGAATATTTGTGTTATCTTTAACCGGAGATAATCGTTGGGAACTTCTTTTTCTTTTCTTATTACTCTTATTTGATAACGTATTTTCATTTCCTAGTTAAGAAAAGGTAAATATTATAAATGTTATACAAGTCAAAAATTGATATATCAGGTACCTGATACGATCAATTTGTACCCGATATGATCATTCATGCACCCGATATGCATGAAAGTTGTTATTTCAACATGTATAATCTATCAACTTCTTACCCTTTCTGTCATATTTTCTTGCTTCAATTCTAGCCAATTGATTTTTTCTTTCTTTGTTTGAACTCCATCTTAATTCTTCATTAGCATGACTTGTTTGAGTTCATCCATCAACTTCATTTCCTTGATACATAGAACAATTACAAGCATATTTAAGTCTTTGATAAGGTTTTGTTAATTCTTCAAGAGATGAAGGCTTTTGGGTATTTGATTTTTGTTCCATTTTATTTAAAAAATATAATAAGGTAAAACAGATAGATGAAAAATGTATTAGTAAAGTTCCTTGATAAGTTTTTTTTTGAAAATTTCTGTATGGTATGATACTTGCTTTTTTATAATACTTATATATGCAAAAATTATTTTCATAATTTTTTCAAACACACGTTTTTTTGTAATTTGTGTCTCAAAACTCAAGAAGATTAATGTTTATATTATTTATAGATACGCGTTTTTGTATTTCGTGTCTTATAATTTATTGTAATTTGTGTCTCAAAACTCAAGAAGATTAATGTTTATATGATTTATAGATACGCGTTTTTTGTATTTCGCGTCTTATAATTTATATAGTCACATTTTTATATATTCAATAACAAAATATGTGTAGTAATATAAATTACTTATTACTATTTATATTATATTTATTATATTTATTAATATAGGTATAGTAAAAATTAAATATGTTTCACAATGATCTGCAGATCATATCTATACATAAGGTAAACAAATACTTTTTCATTAATATTATCGCTCTCTTTTATATGCATAATACCTCCTTGCGGCACATAAAAACTCCTTGCGGATCCAATTTCTTTATGCTGATAATACTAACAATACTATATTATACATATAACATTATACTTTTAATTAAAGATTTTATATTATACATATATAATATTAAGATTATTATATAACACCAGGACCCTGATAAGTGAATTTTTTTATTTTCGCGTTTTTTGATATTCGAAACTATTTTTATATTTTTTTTATATTTAGCAAGACAGCACTTGAGACAAAAAGGTAAAATCTAAAAAAATTAAAATATATTGTTTTTGAATATATTTTTGAGCATTTGTTTTAGTTAATATAACAAACTAAACAGCAAGTTTTCAAGTTTTCAAGAATACCAAGTAAGTATAATAAAATTATAAGCAAGTATTAATAAAGTCAATAATACTATACTTATGATAAAATTTATTTTATATATTTTTTTATTTTAATATAATAGTTAAAAAATCATTGTACGTATTAATTACATCATATAATATCATATATAATATGTGAGCTGATATATAACAAATTTATTTTTAATGCATGGTTTTCATGAATAAAGTATTTTGAAGTATTTTACCTAGTAAGTATAAGATATTGATATGCTAAATACATAATATCATTATATCACCAAAATATATTATATAATGAATTATAACTTTACTTTTCATAATCATCTGCTCGAAAAATGCAATATATAAAGAATTTCTTTTTCCTTTTTTTTCTTTCTTTAAAAGATCAAATTAGAATAATTAAATAATTAGAATAATTAGAATAATTGAAAAATGAAAAAAAACTAATAAAAATTTTCACCCTATTAGGGTACTAAGATCTCGAACAAGAAAAAAAATTACGAAGAAAGGTAAATTAATTATTTAATTAATATAATAATTATAACTAATAAATATAATTTAAATATATTTAATAGAGTACAAATGCTCAGTAAAGAACAAAATAAAAAAGTATCGTCCTCTTCTTCCTCATTATCATCCTCCTCTTCTTCCTCATTATCATCTTCCTCTTCTTCCACATCATTATCTTCTTCTTCCTCATCATCATCATCTGAATCTGAAGTTGATAAAAAAATAAAATATCTTGACTCTGTATCATACGTAAAAGTTAAGGTAAATAATAATATTTTTTTTTTGAATTTTTATATATATCGATACACAATTTAATACAAATTTATCTAATTATAGAAAGAAGCTTTATTGCTCTATGAATCAAAATATAAAGTTAAATACCCAATAAAAAAAGAGTTAACGTGGATCAAACAAAAAGACTTCATTACCTCTAATATTTTACCCAAAATCAGTAAAGAGTTAAATAAGAAATATAAAGTATCTAACCACGAAATAATGAAGATGTTGAGAGGCAGGTGGAGATCACAAAATAACACATGGAGGTTAAGAAAAAATGGTAATGCGAAAAGAGAGAGCAGGCGTGTAAGAAAAAATACTGAAATGGCAAAGGTAATATTTTTAAAGATATCGGATCTAATATTAATGTAATTTTTATATAACAAAGATATCAGGTCTAGTATTAATGGAATTTTATATAATAAAGATATCAGGTCTAGTATTAATGTAATTTTATTAATTTTATTAAATAGAAAAAGAAGGAGAGAGTGGCAGCAGTAAATTTTTTAATCAAAGGCGGTGATGAATATATTAATAGATACCCTATACAACAAGTATTGAAAATATTAAAAATTAGTGATTACCATTCTGAGGAGTGGGAAGAGACTGACAAAGAGTATGAATATGAAGAAAAATTGTTTGAAGGAGATTACGAAAGAGAGTATGAAGAAGGTACTATATATTCAAATAATATTTATTATTATTTTTGTTCATAATTATATTAATTTATTAAATTTATTAATATTAACAAGGTGAAAATGAAGTAATAGATGTAGATAATGATAACAATAATAGAAGTAATAGTAGTAGTGCTGCAACGTCTACAAGAAGTGGTATTAATAGTAGTAGTGCAGCCACCTTTGCAAGAAGTAGTATTAGTAATAGATCTGTAACATTTACAAACGCAAATGCTACCAAGACAACATCCTTTTATGTAAAAGATAAGTGGTGGAGATCAAATGCAGTAAGTAGAAAATAATAATAATATTTTTTTACACATATCAGGCATAGTATTAACAAATATTATTTATAGCTTAAAAAACTACTTCATGAAAGAATCGACCCTACAGTAGAAAGAAATCGAAAACCACCACGAAGAAACGGACAAGAACAAAAATCACGAATTAAATCAACTCAAATATTGGGAAAAACTGAAAGCGAGATACCAAGCGAGGCACCACTTTGGACCCTGAACATGGAAGCTCTACAAATGAATAATTGGGAAAATCATGTAATTCCTGTTTATGATCCTAGCAGTGGTGATGAAGGTGATGAGGATGATGATAATAATGATACAAATGTGACAAGTAGAAAAAGAAAAAGAAAACATAATGATGATGATAATAATGATACAAATGTTACAAGCAGAAAAAGAAAAAGAAAACATAAAGAAAAAGAAAAGAAAAAATCAAAAAGAAAGTAATTAGATAGAATAGCTATATTAGATAATATTGATTTTTGATTATATTTGTAATTTGAAATAAGAACATTTATATTTTTTTAATATTAATAAATTACATATTATAGTAAAATAAAAAATATGGTTACCAGAATTATGAAAAGTGAAAAAATATATATATACAGATAAACAATGGAAACTGATAGGTACCTGATATTAGTAAAAAGTGCCCGATATCTCATGGATATACTATGCCTGATTTATTACCGATTTGTGAACTATAGGTACCCAATATAACATAAATAAAAATTGGGTACCCGATAAGTGAATGATAAATTTGAAAAAAAATATCAAAATTATTCAAAAATGCATATCCGATATATACCTGCTATATGACCGATATATACTCGAAACTGTACAAAAAAACTGCTTTAATCAGGTACCCGATATATCAAATTTCGACCAGTGAAAATTGCTGCGATAAACTTCAAAGGATATCGTTGATAGTGCAATGTCAATTAAAATTGTTGCGATAGACTTCGAAGGATATTGTTGACAGTGCAATGTCGATTAAAATTACTGCGATAAACTTCGAAGGATATCGTTGACAGTGCAATGTCAATTGAAAATTGCAGTGATATAAGTGCAAGTGATGACCATCGAAACGATATATTATGAATATCTAACATAAACGAAGGTTGTCGATATGAAATTATTACAAAAATGATAATATTTGTAAAATTTCACACATGAAGATATCAAAATCAATAACCTTCGAAGATTATCAATACGAATTTACTATGAAAATGATAATATTTGTAAAATTTCGCACATGAAAATATCAAAATTGATAATCTTCGAAAGTTATTGATATGAATTTACTACAAAAACGATAATATTCATAAAGTTTCGTCACGTGAAAATATCAAAATCGAT